TCAACGGTGGCGCCTTAATTGATTCCTCTCATTGTTTGATTTGAATTTCATTGAAGCAGCAGCCATAGTGATGACAAACACATCATCTCGTTGCTATTATGTGCTATGTACTTCAAGTGCTGAACGAACAATAACACTGTACCTTTAATGAATAATCTGGCATGAAACGGAATGCGTAGATATGGCCAAATTGTTTCAGTTCATCCGCGAACTCTTTAGCCAGTTTTTGATGGTGTTCTGTTGGAACGTAACGAAGGATATTTGCTATCGCTTGCTAAATGCATGAATTATGAGCAAATATTATTCTTTATTCTTCAGAAGCATCTGATTATTTTTCATTGCAATACTTCACACAAAATCAATCTCCTATTGTCATCGCAGATTATTTTATTGTAATGTAAAGTTCAAAGTTTACTGCAAAGAACATCTCACAAACATGGTTTTTTATACAGCATTAATTTTTAATAATTGTTGCATCTATCTGGTGTTGTCCACTGAATTTTTAGAAGTAGAAACATACATGGCGAAATCATTTGACGGTGTTTCGCGGAATGCTTCACTTTCATCAGTTTTCATTTATAAAAGTTTAAAAGTTATCAAAATATGAGACCTTTTTTTCATGATCATTGAGAGGTAAATTTCTTATCGGTGCATGAGCGATTTTCACAGCACGTCGTTTGGTTGGATATTCAGGCAGCGGATTAAAAAGATTTCCGCTCGTAAGGCTCTTCAGATCCATTCTGAAATGGCATGCATTTTCAATTAATCGTTGTCGTAAATTTAAAGCGAATGAACAAAAAATGTTTTAAGATCTGCAGCAAATAGCTTTCCGAGATGAGTATCAATAGATCGTATTCGTTATCTAACGTCTGTCTGAGATTGTGTTTCAGCAACGAATTACAATGATATATCGGCGAAACATTCGATTCGGATCCAGCAACACAGATTACTGACTGAATTGAAGTTTCAGGACTTTGAATATTAAAAAATTTTTGAAATAATTCTTGAAAACGAGAATCCTTGAAATTCTTGAGAAATTCAAAAATATTTTTAGAAAAGACGGGAATTCTTCTGATGATGTAAGTATATCTCGATGAACAATAAGAATTGAAACAGTTGGTTTATAACAAATGAGTTACGAAGATGTACTGAAGTTACGAAACAAGATCGATTGAATGCTATCTGTTGGAGTGACCGTGTATTGGAATACAAGTGCGTAGATGCGGTAGCTGTGGAATGCGCAGTGACAAACACTGGTCGA